CCCTCCAAAGGGCCATGGTACATGAACATATGTACAGACATACAGTATATCTGTGGTATTAAAATTTTATGGGGGGGGGAGGCCGGTCCCGTGGCTTAGTGGTTAAGTACGCGCGTTCCGCTACTGGCAGCCCAGGGTTCGGATCCCAGGCGCACACGGACGCACCACTTCTCCAGCCATGCTGAGGCCACATCCCAAATACAGCAACTAGAAGGATGTGCAACTATGACCAATACAACTATCTACTGGGGCTTTGGGGAAAAAAAAGAGGAGGATTGGCAATGGATGTTAGCTCAGAGCCAGTCTTCCTCAGCAAAAAGAGGAGGATTAGCACGGATGTTAGCTCAGGGCTGAACTTCCTCACACACAAAAAAAATTTATGGGGTGTGGGGCCAGCCCAGGGGCATAGTGATTAAGTTCGTGCACTCCGCTTTGGTGGCCTGGGGTTTGCAGGTTTAGATCCTGGGCGCGGACCTACACGCTGCTCATCAAGCCATGCTATGCTGGTATCCCACATACAAAATAGAGGAAGATGGGCACAGAAGTTAGCTCAGGGCTAATCTTCCTCAGCAAAAAGAGGATTGGCTGGATGTTAGCTCAGAGCCAGCCTTTCTCACACACACACACACAAAAATTTAACGGGGGGAAGGGGCACTTGGGGAAAAAATGTCTAAAAAGATTCCTTAGAGGGATGATACTAAAAAAAGGTTGAGATGCACTGCTCTAGAGGAAACCAACAAAATCTAGACTGTTAATGTATGATCCACAACATGAAGCATATGATAATAAAATTACTAGTCCTGTGAAGAAGCAGTGGAACAGAATAGAAATCTTAGAAGTTGAGCTGGATTTTATTCAGCAGGCAATGAGGGCTCTGTAAGATTCTGTGGCTGTTCCACAAAACAGTGTGACATATTCAGATCAGTGTATTAGAAAGATAATTCTGGAGTGGTGCGGAGGGTGTTTTGAGTGGGAGAAAAATAGACGGAGGAAAGGCACTACAAACATCCGGATTCGGAAACATGAAGGCTTCCAGCAGCGGAGACGAAAGCTGGAGAGAGTTACGTGGCAGGATTGTTAATTCTCAGTGACCAACCGGATGTGCAAAGTGATGGAGAGAGAAAAATTAAAGATAACTCTGAAGTGACTAGTACTTGTCAAATGTAAGTGTTCGTGTTCAAGGGACGCTGGGGTAGAAGTGTCCAGGAAGTAGTAAGAAGTATGAATCTAGAGCTATAGAGAGGTCTGGGTTAGAAATGCAGGTTAGTAGAGACGTGGTCACTGAAGCCACAGGAGTGGATGACAACACACGGTGTAAGACAGTGGAGTAAGTGGAAAAGAAGACTGAAGAATCCAGGTATCTAAGCGACAGGCAGAGGAGGAGGAGGGGCCAAGAAAAGAAAGCAAGTGGACAACGGGGTCAAAGAAAAAAGGATTGAGTTGTCCTCTGTCTTTCCCCATTGGCATAAATCTTGCCCCAAAGTCTTGATACTACAAGCGGAATAGAGAGCTGCTTCATTTGCAATAAACATAGAGAGATGAAGGACCATCTCTGCTATTTTTCTCTTGGGAGTCAATATTTCTAGATATGGCATATCATGATAAGAAAGTTATCAAATATCTTCAAGAAGATATTCTTCATTCCTTTAAAAAAACAAAAGAATTAAATATAAAAGAAAAGAAGAATCAAAAGGGAGTTAAGTCAATATTTTCTACATTCTATTCAAATACTCACGTGATATGGTATGGTAAAGTGGAAAAAGCTACAAAACAGCAGTCAAAGAACCACTCACTTCTCAAAGCCCTTCAATGGTTTCTCATCAACCCAGAGTAAAGGTCAAGGTCTTTACCATGCCTACGATGCCCTCATAGATCCTTCTTCTGCCTCCCTCTGTAACCACAGGCACCTCTCTTCCTCTCTCACTCAAGCCAGAGAAAACCCCTGTAGCAAAAATAGCTACAACCACCTTGCTATTCACTCCTATCTATTTACTCACTTTATTTTCATTTATAGCATTTATCACTGCCTGAAATTGTGATACATACGTATTTATTTGTTTCTTGTCTTCCCCATTAGAATTTAAATTCCATGAGAACAAGAACTTTATCTATCTTAATCACGGCTTTTTTTCCGGGACCTACAACAGTATCAGATACATTTTAGGGCTGAAGAAAGACTTGTTGAATGAAATCCATAATCAGTCTAAGCATCTTGGTTCTATAATGTGTAAGATGGTAAAATAGCAATGCACATCTGCTCTGTCTGCTCTTCGTACAATGAAATGAAATAATGTACGTTACAGCACTTTATAAGCTGTGAGTCACTACACAATAGAAGGCGGTGGTGGTGTTGGTGAAGGATGTCTCTTGACACGGTGGAAGCAAGCTGTGATGGCAAATATACACACAAACACATGAATTCTTAATGATCGCCCGGAGGATAAATGTTTAGTTCACAGTTGCTTGTTCCATTTTTCTTTATATAGAAAATATACCTGAGAAATACTTATCCAAGTATACAATATCCAAATACCTAAAAGACTCTACCCAGAACTATACTCTTCAGGAAATAAAAAAGACTAAAGATTGGGTTAGCTGACTTAAAAGCCACAGAAGCAATTTAATTTCTGAAAAAAAATTTAAGAAGAAAAATATTAAAACTAAATTCAATGTTACAGGCTGAATTGTGTCTCCTCCAATTCATATGTTGAAGTCATAACCGTTAGTACCTCAGAATGTGACTGTCTTTGGAGATAGGGTCCTTAAAGAGTTAACTGAGTTAAAATGAAGTCATTAGAGTGGGCCTTAATCCACCATGACTGGTTTCCTTATAAGAAGATGACATCAGAACACAGACACACACAGAGGGAAGACCATGTGAAGACACTTGGAGAAGATGGCCATCCTCAAGTCAAGGAAAGAGGCCTCATAAGAAACAAACCCTGCTGACACCTTGATCTCAGACTTCCAGTCTCCAGAACTCTGAGAAAATAAATTATCACCTCGTCTGTGATACTTTGTTATGGCAGTCCTAGAAAACTAATACACTTGGTTGTTTTAGAAACCAAGAGAAAAATCTTTGGAGAAGAGTTTCATAAAGATGGGGTAAGCAAACTAAAATAATCCTTATCAATATTTTCTTTCACTTTCATCATTTATATTGAAATGTTAACTTTAATTAGAATTGTCTAAGTATAAATCTGAGTTGTCAAATTCTTAAATCAATCCAAATTTTTTACAATATCTCATATTCTTGCTGAGACTCTACCCTTCACAAAGCAGTTAAAGAAGGTTGTATCTAGCACAGAAGCACAGAAGCTAGATGGTTACATTTCTTTTCCGAATTTAGGCCCAACATAGATCCCAATTTTTTTTTTTAATTAATAGGAACACAATTTAAAAAGCAATTGCATTGGAGTCACTGATGTAGCCCATCTCAACTTCACAGGAAAATATCCATTAAAATATAAAATAAACACACATAACTGCAAATCACCCTATTTCCAGATTCTAGGTGGAATTTCTACTAGGTCCAGGACCATCTGCCTTGTAATGGAAAGGTATATTGTGGTCTAGGAGTTGCAGCCTCCAAAAGTAAAACAGCTAAGGCAGGAACAGGAAGATCCTCATAAATTCTTGACTTTCTTTATGAATCTGGACCCCAGGGTCAGAAATACAGTTGATTCACATGCCAACACATGACTCCTGTCACCCATAGATAAAGCTCAGATATTTCCTCATCTGTATCTTTTTTTTAATTTTAATTTTTAATTGTGATAAAATACATATAACATAAAATTTACCATCCTAACCATTTTTAAGTGTACAGTTAAATAGTGTTAAATACATTCACACCATTGAGCAACCCATCTCTAAAACTTTTCACCTTGCAAAACTGAAACTCTATACCTATTAAACAGTAACTGCCCATTTCCCCCTCTCTCTAGCCCCTGGCAACCACTATTATACTTTCTGCCTTTATAAATTTAACTACTCTATGTACCTCATATAAATGGAATCATATAGTATTTGTCTTTTGTGACTGGCTTATTTCACTTGACATAATGGATGAACTCAAGGTTCATCCATATCATAGCATATGTCAGAACTACCTTCATTTTTAAGGCGGAATAATATTTCATTGTATGCATGCACCACATTTTGTTTATCCATTCATCTGTCAATGGACACTTGGGATGCTTCCGTCTTTTGGTATTGCGAATAATGCTGCTATGACCATGGGTATACAAATATCTCTGAGTCCTTGCTTTCAATTCTTTTGGATATATACCCAGAAGTGGAATTGCTTAGCTCTATCTTTTCCTCTCCTATTACTTTCTAATTACTATCAATCTTAACATTATATATTTACATTTACATTCTTAAATTTGCTAGAAAGTGGGTAGAGTTGAAAGTCAGATATATAGGAAGAGAAAGCTGAATATTCTCACGGGGCAATTCACATAAAGGATCACTCATATAAATTATTCATTGACTTCCTTTTGTCTTTTTGGGGGAGGAGTGTAATGTATCCTTTTAAGACTCTAATGAAGTCTATGGAGCCTATCCCAGGAAAAAATACACATAGAAATGTACATCCAAAAATACTGGTATAATTTCAGGACATTCATGAACCCCTGAAGTCCATCTAAGAACACTCTATCTCAAAGGCAGCAAACTCTGAAAGGCCCAAAGATGGGTTTCAGAATTCTAACAAATGCTAAATACCAATAAATACTATCCAAACTCAAAGGATCACATGACTTGGATCTCTCTGTGAGTCATGAATCCAACATCCCTTCAGTTCCATCATTAGCTAGTTCCATAAGTATTTTTGGGTCCCAAGTCACAAATGATGAAAGCTATTGCTTGTCTTTTGCACAAGCTCCTGAAGATGATGCACATAACGCTAACTGAGACACGTGGAGGAAGCAATAAAAAACAGGTGAACATTCAGTTTAAAGACTGGTAAATACAGCAAAGGACGAAATTTGACTCACAAAATCTGTTTCAAGTTTTCCCATTTCTTGCTTGTAGCTTCTCATCCTGTTGCTGTACATTCCTCGACTTTGGGGTGGTATCTCTCGGACTTCCAAATCCATCTGTTCAAGCTGGAAGGGTGAGAGGAAAATGTGATTTAAACCATATGCTTATTCTTTATTTGACCAGATGTTTAGAGCTGAAAGGATTTAATTCCAATTCCTCATTTTACACTTGAGGAACCAGGCCCAGGGAGCTAACTAACCATGATCAAATAACACTGGGAGTACTTTTGTGCTTAATTTTTGTTTAGGTCAACAAATAGTTACTGAATGCTTGCCAAGTGACACACAGAGTAACAAAGTGCTTCCTTTGTCAAGAATTTCTTTTAAAACATGCATTAATCCAAACATCCTCAATAATAATGATTTTAATATCCTTGGAGTACTCTATCATTCAATTCAACCTGGTCTGGTCTTCTGACCCAAAAGCAGCAGAACTATGGAAAGATAAACCAAACCATTATTTCTACCATTACTCTATGAAATGTCAGCCCAGCCTTAGTCATTTGGTGAAAATTCTTCTGGAAAGTCTTTTCTAATTAGGAAAATCACATGTCAACTAACATGTGATCTCGACCTCCAGCCTAACTCCTTATACTTTATAACCACATTGATATGGAGTTAAATGGATACAGTGACATGCTAAATTACACAAAGCTCACTGAAATCATGGCAAGGGTGCTTTTTAACAACCTGTCATTATATAACACTTTGGCTATAACACATGAGCATTTAATGGGAGGCAATACAGAAATATTATGATGGTTAAGAACATGGACTTTCAAATCACATGCCTGCATTCACATCGTAGGCTCCACTACTTACTAGGCATTCAAACTTGGACAAGTTTCTAAACTTCTCCAGGCCTTATTTCATTTCTAAAATTAGTATATCTTTTGGAGGGCAGCTGTGAAGATTAAATGAGGTAATTCCTACAATGTGCTTACAACAGTGTCTTTTACTTGGTAATGGCAAGATTAATGTTAACTATAGCAGTGAGGATTACTGATGGTGAAGAAGAGATACAGCAAGCATGATTCAGGTATCAGAGGTAGCCTATTTATACCTGGTATTAAAAAAAAAAAAAACCAATAACAACAAGAAATTGGCTCAAGCCATGTCTGATAAACTCACATCCCAAAATGTTGCCACACATTTGGCCTTTCAAAGCATTGTAATAAGTTATTTCCATGAACACTGTAAGCTTCTCACTAATGAAATTCTTACTTGTCCCGTGTAAGAGACTGAATAACTATAGTAGAACACAGATAAACCAGAAGACCATGTTTCAACTTACAGGCCTCAATTTTTATAAAGAAAACAAAACCAGTTTTAATTAGCCTTGATTTAAGCAGTGACCATTTAAATTACTGACATGTCTCAACATAAACGTGAAGCACCAATAAATTAAATAGTTACTTAGCAAGGCAATTATTTAAAGCACTTCTCTGAAATCATCATAAAGTACTTAGTTCTAACAAGGTAAACAGGATCCTCCAAACAAATAATTGCAGAAGCACATGTAAATAAAAATCCAAGAGTTCAGTACATATTTGTTTAAGGCATTTTACAAGGACAATTAAAACTAAATTAAAAGTAGCTAAGAAAGAAAAAAGGAAACACACAACAAGCACTTAATATGAAACCAGGAATAAGGCTAAAACACACTAGTTTCATGTTGTCACAACATTCACGTGGCCAGTGTAAAGTGGAAGACATGACAATTACAAGACATTCAGTGTCCAAGAGATTAATGCAAACAATCATTCAGCAGAAATACAACTAATCCTAATAAGTCAGATCAAAAAGAAATTTTTCTCCCAAGGTCCTTATCAAAAGGACAGTATGCAATATAATGAACAGTGTCCCTAACAAGGATGTCATCAGAATTAAGCAAATCAGCTTTCTGATCATTTTAAACAAACAGAAACACATATCTTAGACAAAACTCTTTTGTTAGTAACAACTAAAGATAACTATAAGCTCCATGAGGGTATGACTATGTTTTATATTTCTTGTTGTAATAAAACTCTGGTTACCATGAGACCAGCTTTCTATCATCATCAAATAAATCAATGTCTCCAAAAGAAGGCAAACAAATAAATTAAAACACAGATTTTGATGGCAAAAAAACCTACTAATGAAAACTCAACAACATAAGAAGTCAACACAAGATTCAAAGAATTGACCATTTGTACTATTTATGGTAAGCCTGCCAACCAGAAGGAAGAAGCATCTATGGTATGCAAGAGGTCAGTTTTTTACATGAAGGCAGGAAGCATGAGAGAAGTAGTTGAATATAAAAAGAAAAGAAAGTAAGAAGAAAAGCATTTGAAAAAAAAAGAGGAAACTTTCTCTACTTTCATTGTAGAGACGGTGACAGCAGCCAGCAGAGATAAGTGGATCTTACAGGCTATAGAGAGCATCAGACATTCTGACAGCTAGAAAAGAACCAGCGACAGAGAAGACAGAGCAGCAGCTCTGCAACTCGATGCCTTAGCACTCATAGACATACAGGAAACGTCTGCTGGGCAACGGGGAACAACAGCCACCTATTTCTTCAGACACCCCAAAGCAGCAGTTCCCCACGTACGGTCCTGTTAATAAATGTTACTCAGTTAAATAAGCTTGGGAAATGCCCCATGCTCTAGTTGCCCCCTATAGTCCCTTCTTAGAGATTCATAATGCCTGTTAGCTTATTTAAGGGTCCAAGAAGGTCCTGTAGAAAAACAACAACCAAAAAAGACCCCAATCTCCAATTCTATTTAAGCTACAGTTTCCCAAACTTATTGGAACAGGGAACACCAGTTAACAGAAAAACACTTAGGGAAACTGTTCTAAGTATATCAGTAAGAAGTACTATCAAATAGATCCTTCAACATTTAGAAAAGCAACACACTCATTTAGGACCACAAGGTAGTAACAAGTTGAATCATACGTGCAATACTTGGCTTTAAAACCAAAAATTGGGACACAATGCTTTTTAATACTTTTTGCTCTTTCATTTGCAAATTTATTTATATCAAAAAGTAGTGGATGAGCTAGAGCTCTGGGTTTAGCATATCTAAATGCAAATCCTTACTCCATCACTTACTGGGTGTGGGACCTCAGGCAAATTAATTAATCTAAGCCTCAGTTTCCCCATCTACAAAATGGGGGTAGGAATAGTGTTGAGAATCACTCCTCCATGGGTCTCTCACACTCCTACATGCCTTGCTGGGCATGCCAAGAATTCAAGGCCTTGACCACTCTTTTGCTGGACCATTTCTCAGGGTTGTTTTTGCAGGGAGCAATCTTGAGGGAGGAAATAATGTGTCCCTCTGGGACAAAGAGCAGGCTTGTTTACAGGCTGCTATAAAGCAGTACATTTCCCAGGCTCCATGTTCCTCTCCTGTAAGATATTCCGCTGTACATGCAGGCATTCTTCTATGCAAACTTGCATCACCCCGTGAGAATTGGTGCTCAGGGAAATGGTGCAAGCATGCTGCAACTCTGGCAGCTGCTTTTGCTGAGTAATAAAAGTCCTTTGTCTCTGACCTAGGAATCTCATATCTTCTATCAGCATCCATGAAATTGTGGTAAGCTTTACTTGTCAGTGAGCAAGTAGGGGAAAATATCAGATCCTTAAGAGTTTTTGACAAATAGTACTTGTCTCACAGAGTTTTTGTGAAAAGTAAATATTATATGGTATGTAATATGTCTAACCCACTGTCTGGTACCCAGTATGCCTTTAACAAGCATTAGCTATTCATAGCTATTATGAAAAGTATTATGAAGGAATAAAAATTAGAGGTGGACATTTAATGAGTCAGTTTTATTAAGAAGAATAAAACCCCAAGAAGCTATTAAATTTTCTTCAATTTAAAAATTGATGAATTCAGGGCCGGCCCCATGGCTTAGCGGTTAAGTGCGTGCGCTCCACTGCTGGCGGCCCGGGTTCGGATCCCGGGTTCGCACCGACGCACCGCTTCTCTAGCCACGCTGAGACCGTGTCCCACATACAGCAACTAGAAGAATGTGCAACTATGACATACAACTATCTACTGGGACTTTGGGGGAAAAATAAATAAATAAAAAATTTAAAAAAATTGATGAATTCTGTATTATAAAATGCTAATCAGTAATTTTTCATATTTCTACAATGTATAAAACAGGCCAGAGGAAGGCATCAGCTTAAATGGCTCTGGTCGTGTGTTAAAATATATCACCAAGTCTGTACATACCAGTTCTTTTGCTTCTTCGAGCTGTTTCTCCACATTTGCAACCATCTGCTTCTTCTCATCTGGAGCAAACAATAACATCAAGGAATTACTAAGGATACAAATAACTTTAATATTTAAAAACTTCTATTTTTATATACCTTTTTTCTTTCTGATCAATCAGAGTAGAGAATTACCATATCAGGCAAACAACCGTATCATTCCTTGGTGGGGTAGGAACCACTTTAAGCCACTGACTCTAGGCTACCTGGAAATATGTAATACTGTGGAGTACCTAATTATTAAGAGATTCCATAACATTTTTAAGAGAAACCAAAAATTATTTTGTTCTTTAGAAGAGACTGTGTCAACAACAGCAAATTTAGTGGTGGTATGAGGAATCTGCAAAGTCATGACTTTAATAAATCAGGAATAACTGATTTATGAATATAAAAGTCATATACAAAAACTATTCCTAAAACTGGGCAAGATCTTAAAATCCTTTTAAAAAATGTACTTTCATTAAGAATTGGGTGTAATGGGGCCGGCCCCGTGGCTTAGCGGTTAAGTGCGTGCGCTCTGCTGCTGGCGGCCCGGGTTCAGATCCCGGGCTCGCACCGACGCACCGCTTCTCCGGCCATGCTGAGGCCGCGTCCCACATACATCAACTAGAAGGATGTGCAGCTATGACATACAACTATCTACTGGGGCTTTGGGGGGAAAATAAATACATAAAATCTTTAAAAAAAAAAAAAAGGATTGGGTGTAATGGAAGAAATATTTGAAGTCAGGACTACTGATTCTAAACCCAAAGCTCGCTGGTTATGGGAGCCTGGACAAGAGTTTTTTCTGCAACTCAATCTGTACTCTCTAAAATGGAAATTTAAAATACCCACAGGATTCTTTTTAGCTCAAATAAGCTGATGTAAGTGAAATTACTTTTAAATTGTGAAGTGCCAAGTCTCTGTATGTGGTTTATGCCAACTCTACCACAATCAAGTAACAACCCAACTGTAATTCCCTTTTCTGGCAGAAACATGTCCCAGCAGATATTTGCAGAAAACTTTTCCCTACGCCCATTCCACATCAATCAGCCCATTTATTCAGAGACTGCACCTAAGTTTTGTGCTAACCAAATTTATCAAACATTTAGTTTTGTGTGCCTCGCACACTTCTCTTCTCAGGCAATAAGATAATAACTCTTTTGAGGCTCTCCTCTTTACCAAGCAGGTCAATGGGAGATGCTGTCTCCTTCTACGAACCTGTCTCTCCCATCACAGTGACCTGGCAGAGGATGGGCTTCTCATCCTAGCTCGGCCAATCCTAGCAACTCAATCCCTCTGGCCACATTGGTCTAGGGGGTGGGGGTGGGGTGGGCATATGACCCAAGCAGACCAATCAAAGTCCTGGAACAACAGGAAAGTCTTTTCCTCTCTCTTGGTAGAGTTATAAGAACATGAGTCTAGAAGCTGATCCATTCTTCTAGCTACGAGGAGCAAGTCAGCTTGCAGAGGTTAAGAATGAAGGCTACATTTAGAAAGAAACAAAGCTGAGAGATAGATAGATAGATAGATAGGTGATAGATAGATAGATAAAATAGATTAGATTAGATAGATTTAGTTAATTAGCTTCTGGTTCCAGATAACTCTAAAACACGTTTTGCTTGACTTTATCATGGTTTGGTTTCTTAAACCAACAAATTTCTTTGTCTTTAATGTTTAAAGTTGGGTTTCTGTGACATGGAACCTAATGATTAGGCTGACATATAACAGACTAGGAAAGTCATGAAGCTTGAAATGGGTACAACACCTCTTAGCTGACTAGCCCTTCAGAAGGTTAGTCAATACTAAGTGGGGAATCTTTAGTAGAAGTTATTATTTTACTAGAATAGTAATTAGGTTCTGCTAACCCAAACCTCTTCCCTTTGATCTGCTCAAACAAGAGTCACATAAGCTGTTTTGTGTGTACACTAAATATTTCTCCCTAAGGAAAATGCACATTTGGAATTAAAATTTAGCTTGATTTTCCCTCTTTGAAAAAGTTAAACTTACATATGGTCTGATTAAAAATTTAGTTTATGACCTCAAATTTACTTGCTTCTGGCACATGTCAATCTAACATCTTGACAAGTTATAGTAAAACCACATTGTATTTTTGTGATAGAGCAGAATATGAAATAGACAAGACCATCTTGGACCAAGAGTGAGATTATGTATTTACATATCAGAAGGAACGTGTTTTCTCTAAGATACTCAGTTGTTAGGAAAGTCCATGCCATGACCTCCAGGATTAACATGCACCAGTTTTTCTCATTAACAAAACAAAACAAAGATAGAAGCCTCCCTTGACCTGCATTCCCCTTCGTGCTCCTCTCTCTCCTTCCATGCACAGTCACTTTTCCCCTCCTCATCTCCCCATTTCCTCCCTGTAATCTCACTCCCGCCCCCACCATTCCACTGAAATGACTCTCACTAAGACTAATGACCTTTCCTCTGTCCTATTTTTACTTAATCTTGTGGCATCTGACACTCTGCTCCTCCCATCCTGTCACTTTCTCCTCTCAGGCTTCCATGATACCCTGATTTTGTGATTCTCCTAAACACTCACTTCTGTCTCAGGGTCCTCTGCTGGGCATCCTCTTTTTTAACCCATCCTTTAACTGTCGGTGTTCCTTGGAGTTCAGTCCTTGCTTTTCCTCTCATATGACTATTGTCTATGTTCCTGGGCAATTTCATCCACTCCCATTTTTTAACTATCATATTACATATTTATGATCTAAAATCTTTATCTCTAATCTTGATATATTTCCAGGACTCCAGACCTTTAATCCCAATGCTTGTGCCCATCTCCACTGTGACGACCTGGCAAACTGCTATCCAAAACTCTCTTCAGAAGTCACTACCTCTTTGAAGCCTTTCCTACCCCAACAAAAGAGTTAACCACTTTCTTTTACAGAAAACACCTAGAACTCTTACATAATCCTAATGATTTGTCTCTCACACTCACAGGTCTGATTTACCACCTAGCTTGGGGGCTCTGGGAAGACAGAAACTGTGTCTTAACTACCTTTATAGTTCTAAAATCTAGCACTGAGCCTAGAATATAATCAGTTCTTGAAAAATGATGGTAAATTGAATACAGACTGTGGGCTAGTGAAAGTATTTACAAAAGAAGCTATGCTACCAACCGCCTTCTATCTTTGTTTTGTTTTGTTAATGAGAAAAACTGGTGCATATTAACCCTGACTCCATGCCTGCCCCCTCGCCCATTTAATCTTTCTAAAATGTGGCTTTGATTGGATCATTAGATCCTAGTGGTCAAAGTCCTCCACAGTCCAGATCTAAGCAACCTCTCCAACTTTATTTCCAACTACTAGCTCTCCAGTACGTACTTCACACACCAACCAGACCCATCTTCATTACTATCCAAGCACATCTCTTTTTTTTCCTGCTCTAAGCCTTTGTTCAAACTACTAGGGTTCTTTGGTTGAATATAACAGAACTGATTCTGACTAACCTAAACCAAAAAAGAATAACATGGGGTGGCTTACAGAGTCAATGGAAAACATGAGCCCCCAGGCTCAGGGAGGACAGTACCCAGGGTGGCTCAGGGTACCAAGGGAACAGGAACTCCCTAATAGTCTCTGCAAAAGGAGAGCCTCGAGCAGCAATACTACGCTTTCTTCTTGGTTCACTCTGCTCAAATCTCAAATGCCCGGCAAATACTCTCGGAATGTCGTCACTTGGGTAATGTGTTCACTTCTTGACCTGGGCAGGACATGGCAGCCTGTCAGACTGGGTTTAGGTAGTTCCTCAATGGAAAACTGAGGCGCTGCTATCAGAAGATAGAATGGAGGATTCTCGAAACAACAGATGCCCACTGCACCCACTACTGCAACCTCTTATAATATATTCTTTCCCCGTTTTTGTCTACAAAATCCCACCTATCCTTCCAGGTGATCTCCTGGGACACGATCTTATCTCCTCTGAATTCCTAGACCTCTGTGCTCTGCTCTAGTGGCCCTGATGGTCATTAGAGATTTGTTTGTGTGGTATTCTCTTCAGCCTCATTTCCAGCTCCTTGAAGGCAGAGACTGCTCCTTGACACATCTTTGTCCTAACTCTGTATTTAGCACAGAAAGTTGTATATGGTAGGTGCTCACATCAGCTCCTTGACACATCTTTGTCCTAACTCTGTATTTAGCACAGAAAGTTGTATATGGCAGGTGCTCACTAAGTGCTTACTGAGTGAATGAATCAGTCTTAGCATTTAGCAATATAATATTACTCACAGAGAAACTGAGGAAAAGAAAAACTACATCAGTGAGGACTGGAGCAAGTCTTCCTACCTGGAATTGTTAAGTTGCCCTTTATGAAAGAAATAATTAAACTGGGATGAGAGAGGAGGGGTAATACAAGTAGGTCGTTTTCTCATAAAATCCATTTCATGATGGCACTGTCAGAAATAGTCGTGGAGCTGAGCCAATCTTTGATATTTTTAAGAGAAGAATTAAAACGGTGACAATTTAGGAGAAAAGTATGAGGAAGGAAGGAAAGAAGGAAGGACTAAATTAGATGACCTTGGAAATATCTACCAACATTAAGTTTTGGTACCCTTTTGACAGTATTCACATGCAATCCCCAAGAGAGCTTCATGCTGCCCACCCCAAATGGCATGCCCTTTACAGATCGCACATTCCTAGGATTCAGAACTCATAACAAACAGCTATCATTATCTTCCTGGGCTATGTGTTAAATATTATCACAGTCAATCTTCCAAACAACTCTTTGAAGTTACTAGTATTATCCCATTCTCGGGCAAGTAAACAGAGTGATTAAATAATTTCTCCAAAGTTAAACAGCTAATAAATAGCCGAGTTGGAATTCCAACCAGGTCTGTTGTCCAGAACTGAGCTCTTAACCTCTAATGTACTATATGAAATACACTATATAAACAAACTTCTTCACCTTTTTTTCCTCCGCATACAGGATTGATGAGTGCTGACTTATACATAAGTCTTTGCATAGTATGATGTTTTCTTGCCCACTCAATATTAACAGAAATGCTTAGTGCTGATATACAC